ATATTTTTTCAAATTTAATTTCTTGATAAAATATAAGAAAAGAGGAAAGTATTTAAGTTTAATAGAGAAATGTTAATAACAAGTATTTTTGGTTATAGTGTATATATTTACAGATAGTTAGTTTTGTAAAGTCATATTTTGTGTTTATAATGTTAAAAAATGGTGTTATGGTTACTGTAGTGTGTCATGTTTTCTTAAAAAAAACGTTATCCAGTTTAATGATCAGCAAGGCGTTTCTGATGCAGATGATACTTTTGAACTGATTGAAATAAGAAATCACTCATGTCAGCATAGTTGACTGGTAGTGGTAGAGGTTGTTGACATGTGGCAGTTATGGCAAGGCTTAATCCATTAAATATGAAAATCACATTTATATAGCTCCTAGGAAAATGAAGAGGAAGTAGATTTTATTAATTTGCAACAATTCAGTAATAAATAACTTAATATTGCCAAATATTGTAAGTAAATTGTTAAAAATAATCATTCAATCAATGTATCTCTATAACTTATTGTTTAATCGCATTTAATTACATTATTATTTAGGGTAACGTTAAAATTAAAAATTTTCATTCACAGCAATTCACTAAATAACTTTGTATTGTAATTAATTTGTTGAAAATAATAATTCAATAAATTATAGAGATATTTGATTTTAAAATTGAACACTAGTTTTTTTATCTTTTAGCATAAGTGGGTGATTTTACGTCATTTGTCATTGTAACTGCTTTGTTTACAATAAATCTTCGATATTATTTACAATGATTGACTAAAGTAACGGAAGTCTAAGTAACAGAACTTGAAAAATGGAGTAAGCACATTTACTTCATATTCAGGATGTAATAGCGTTGACATCACAAAACTGTAATTTAATCCCATTGCAACTACCAATAATGTGGTTGTTTTGATAGCAAGATTCTTGGAATTAAAGTCATCGTTTTCAATACCTTTCAAATTGTGCCATCGTTTTCAATACCTTTCAAATTGTGCCATCGTTTTCAATTTGATTTTATTAAATCTTGATCGGTAGTGCTTTTTTCTTAGAAATATGATGATAATAATATACTGTAAACAATTCATAAAGGATGAAATACCTATTATATTTGTGGTCCCTTTAAACTTTGTTTGGCTCCTTTAAACATAAGTTAAATTAATAGGGCCTCTCTGCTATGATAACAAATCATATACAAATTAATGGTTAAGAAATTAGTAATGAAGCAGGGTATTAGTGATAGATAGATTTAATACTAATGGAAGGAAGTAAAGAAATCAGTAAAGTATCAATGATACCTAGGATGGGCCTATAGATGTTATGAAAGTTATTCTTGTCAAATTTTATGAAAAAGATATCGGACAATAATATTGACTCAAGGAAGGATCTCAACAACCTGAATCAATATAATTTAAATGAATAATGCTAATTCCATCAGAGCCTTTCAAAACTGATTTATATTTCATCTTACCATATCAACATTTTTCTGAGAAAATATAAATCATAATTAAAAAAATAATTGTCTTGATGATTTCATTTTTAAGTAATGGTTACTTTTTTCAATGTCTTCGTTGAGAAGCTGTATTTATTCAGTCTAAACTTGTTTAGGTTTAACATATTTGCAGAGGTCATGAAAGGTCAAAGTGCACAAAAATCACTGCTTATAGTTTTATTGTATGGTGATCATAAGAACAACATTTGTCTTGGCATTATGTGTGTTAGCCATCGAGCCATTGCAACAATCATTGGCTCTAAATTCTATAGACCCTTGAGTTCTTTTTTTTGTTTCCTTCCTTATGTTGCGTTGTTATGTCAGTTTAGGTTGTATTGTAAATTAACATGCATAATGTTGAGTTCAAGGTTCGTCATGTTAAGAACTCTGGATTTTTTTTTTCTCTCTATTCACACTGTTTTGTGTGTCAAATATCTGTGAATCGGGGTGATTTCCGGGGGGCCAACATGGGTTATGGCCCCACCCCCAAAAAAATAGGAACTGAAAAGAAAGAAATGGAGCATGGTACTGCAAAACAAGCTAATTATTTGATTTAAATTCCATGTAACAACAGTGTCTATGGTCAAGTATTTCTAAATCAAAAATGTCAAACACAACACACCCTCCTTCCCACATGTTGCTTTACATGTTGCATGGCCCCTTACTCTGGATTTGCCCATGTGAATTGTCCATAATACATAATCTGGCCTATGATTATAGTGCCTTCAGTTAATAAGTAGTATAAGGTACTTAAAAAAATTGAGACTTTTGAATTTAATTTTTCAATATTGGAAATTTTCTCTTTGTTATATATTTTAGACTGCTTGGCACTTACTGCAGGCTCCCTGGCATTTACTGTGTTTGCTAACACTACAGTTAGAATTAGCTTGCAAATCATGATCGATGCTTCTACCTACTAATGTTTTGTCAGTATACAGTAATACTTGCTTTACTTACAAAACTAAATGGCAGCTACTACTGTCGGAAGATATATTCGACTGTCACTGCATTTCAGACTAAGTCAATGATGTCAGTTGAGGAAGTTGTTCAGTTGAAACTGTCTGGTTTTTGTAGTCTAAACCATTTTTGCTGTTGTGTCCAATTGACATGGGCAAATAAATATATTGTATTGTCTTTGTTATTGTCATTTATTCTGATTATTAATAATCAAGATTACCATAAGCATTTGTCATAATAATTTTTTTAATTCTTTAATTAATAATCATCATTATTTGATTTATTTTCTTATATTCATAATCATTGTCATTATATCCTGATCATAATCACCATTATCATTTTTATAATCATAATCATCAACATCGTCTGTATTATTATTATTATTATTATTATTATTATTATTATTATTACTATTATTATGTGTACTATTGTGATTATCATTATTTTAATAATTTATTAATTAATAGTTCAATCTTGATTGAGTGCATTTTGCTAAAAGCCTCAATGCCTCAATAAAAATCCAGATGTGTTTTGAGTAGTTCATTATTCAGTTATCTTTATTTATGTTTATATCACATCTTGTAAGAGGTTGAGAAGTTTTTCTCTGCAATATTTCAGGTGATAATTAATGTAAGTAACACTGTCATAAAATTGATGTTATAATTGAGCAAGATTAATTATAATTATCTTTATTTCTAAGGGATTATTATGGTAATCTCAATGAGTTGAATGCTTTCAGACAGATATAATTCTTCAATAGGTAACCAAAGACCACTATATATACATCAATAGTTATTATGAACGATTGATTGCAATTCTATGCCGTTGATAACAGACATTAATATCCATGCAACTGTCTATAGTCTGTTACCGGTAATAATCATCATGATTATCCAAATTCAGCATTTCATGAGGATAAAACATATAGAGTCGGTTTGTCAACGGAGCTTAGCTGAATAGACCATTTTACTTCACATCCTGCTGTGGTGATCGTTAGACGGTCAGTCGGAGATACATTTATCGTTTTCCGATTCTCTTGCGTGTCATCAGTCACTTTGAAAAGAATCACTTAATGATGTTTGATCATCCTCACGATTACTATTAAATTACTGTGCAGTGTGTACACTCTTAGGAATCTTCTTTCATATATTTTAAAATACAAATTTTGATATATTTGGGAGTGTATGTATTGTTTTGTAGGATTTTATACTTTCATGAATTTTTTTTGTACAAATATTCAACGGTTTATACAGATGTGACGCAACCTTTTAAACTTAAATTAATACGTTTGACACCCTTAAACATGGATTTTAGACCTATGATTGTCATTTTACCAGACAAAGTACATGTGGTTGTCAAATCTCAGAAATACCCCTAGGCTTATATGAAAGTTGACCAACTTATCCTAAATCTTAACTACTGTGCTTTGGCTACACCACAACATTTTTTGGCCTATAGGTTTCATATAAAGTAAGTCACTTCTCCTGCAGTAAATTAACTGGAAGACATGAGTTTTAACACGTTTCTTGAAATACTGGATCTATTGTCCATGAATGTCTCTTGGCTGGGCATTCATAAATCTGTCCTACATTTTTAAAAATAATTTATCACTGGTTCACTTAACAGGTAAAATTGGGTAGACGCTGCCATACTTATTTATTGTAAACAGTCTAAGTACGATTGGCTATTGTATGCAGATTTAATACTTGAGAAGCATACACTGACCGTTGTCCTACAATCATTCATTCATCTCATTGGATGACCCAAACATTTTAAGGGTTTTTGTTTTGTACTTGTTCTACCAGCGAAACAAATAGATAAGACTTGCTTGAATGGCATATCCCATAATGATGTCTAGTTACATTACTTCGTCACATGACATGGTATTGAGGATATTGGAGCAACATTACGTGCTGTAGCTCATGCATGTGCATGTCATTTAGTGGGATTTCAATTTCTATTATAAGCTATTGTTGGGGAGAGAAGTTTTAGTGATATTAATTTCATTGTTGAGTACCAAGTACAGTATTAATAATAAATCATAAAATATTGTGAGTGGATGACAAGTTTTATGAAGAACATAGAAATAGTTTGTAGTTTGCTAATGCATAGCTAATCAATGTCATCATCATTATTCATAAAATCAATGTCATCCTCATTATAGGTAATTATATAAATAAATTTAATTAGTTTTCAGTAGAAAATTTGAATCTGAAAATATTTATCTTACTGATTTAGTGGCTGCATATTGTACACATACTATTCATATTATTTAGAATACTTAGCAGTGAACAAACACTTTTATATGATATGATAATAGTAAGTCTGTAATCAATATTTTATTGGAAGTTAATAACTTATTTGCCAATTTTAAATGAGCTTTATTTGAATATTCAAGGGGTTTTCCAGCTTTCAACTATGACATTAGCTCCCCTATCTTTAGTGCAGTGCAGTATAACATTAGTATTGTCAATCCTTTGCGCCTGACATGTTAAAGATTCTTGTGATTATCAGCTATTCCTGCCTAACCACCTACAATGTTTTCCGCCAATTTCACCCATTATGCTGTCCTGGGTAATTGCTGAGGTATTTTTCCAATTTAATATTTTCCCCTTTGATAAGTTTAAAGGTTAAGGTTAAAGCATGAGTAACTGCTTATAAAATGAAATGAGTTTGTAGGCATAGTCTGATAATTCTGTAGGATTATAACATGTATTACAGTATGAAAAGATTGCAAAACACATTAATTTGTAAAAATCAACCTGTTATTTGTTTTATAAATTTGATTTGAATTTATCTGCAGAATAATCTAGTGTAGTTTAGTGTGTGAATATTGTATGGATCTTATCTGTTGTCGTCTCCTTATTTCAATCTTACGAGTCCGTTGTCTGCTCATTCCTACTTTATTAGCTATTTGTCTACTGTTGTGCTAATTAGTTTTGGAGACTTTTTTTTAATGAGTTTCTCCAAATTACAAATGTTTTAATGTTGTTTGTTTTAAACATCATATATAGTAACAATATGTAGGCATAATTTGATGCAATGTTTCCTCTCATATTACTTGAAAATGTTCCCGTGCATATTATATTTGATTTTTAAAATATTATCTTCTACTGCAGGTCTCAGCCTGTTCGCCTCCAATGGTGTCCGTCTTTTCTCTTCATCTAGTCCACTTTTTCCTAGTAGTCTGAGAAAAGTTTTTTATATTCAGCTAACTCTCCTTTCGAGTCAAACCACCATTTTCGTAGCATCAAAAACCGTCAAAATAGTAGAACCTTTCAGTTAGTTAAATAGTGATTCGCTTCCTGGTCCCCAACTGTGCCCTTCTTCTAGGCACTACCAGAGCACTCCTAGGGCACTCAAGCACCCCATGGACCTTTAGTTCTCATAGAAAACCTTGAGGAATCCAAGTTACAGGTTTGGTTCTACTTGTAAATAATTGTAACCTAAAGTATTAATTATATTTCACGATGTTTTTTTGCAGTCACCATTGGTTAAACAGCTTCTGAATCATTATTCAAGCGCTGGTGGTTTTGCCTTGCTAAAGGAGCGACTTACTGGATGCAGTGAGCTAAGCCTGATACAGATTGCGTGTCTTCTCAGGTATAGTATTACTAATCTGGCTGTTTTTTCCCTGATCTTTTTTGGCGTCATCTGATCGTTTTAATTTCGCCTTTGTCGCCTCGTATTGATTTTTCAATCTGTAAAGTGTTGCTGTCATCAAAATTGATACTTTTCATCATCATCATCACCACCGTCATCACTGTTATCGTCATCAACTTGCGTTATCGATGGGAACAATATAACCTTACTGGTACTTACTTTAAAACTATGTTCAGTTTTGTCTTTGATACATTCATTTTATGTTAATTGTTTTTATTGGCCGTGTTATCATTACAAGATTCATTTTGGTGTACTGGAATAATTTAATTATTAAATCAACTATACAATACAAAATATAGCATTAAAATTTTTACTAAATCCCTGACGAAAATGTTGTGGACATTATTGGCTCATCTTATGTTTTTTTTTTTATTTTCAGTTTATGTATGCCAAAATAAGCACATCTGTTATGTTTCCTATGTGAATTACATTCAATGACCTCCCAATGATCTGGGTCACAAACAATACTGTATCTCTTTTGGGTTAAGGGCCTTGTATTTACATAAATCTTTTAACATCTTCAAATAGCGCCCTCATGCTAGAGTAAAAATACTTGCACTTTTTTCTTAGTTGCCACATGGAGTGATAGCCATTTCGATGATTAGATTGAATTACTCCTTGATTAGATACGTTAATGTTCCTGGCACCTAATTCTGATAATTAAAGGCTAAGCATTTCTGTGATGATCATCTGTTAATCTCTGTCAATACAGTATAATGCTAGTTTAGAATAAAGTAAAACAAAAAGTTTTGCACTTGGAAAGTGACCTAAATAGTGCAGCAGACTTGTAATCTAACATCAAATTTGTGGGATGCATAAGCTGGCTAGTGGTGAATTGGCACAGGGATGCAAACAAATTAGAAAGGCCTAGGGTAATGCATTGATAATCCAAATGCTGTCATTAAAACACAGTATGCTGCTTAAAATGATACCGGTGTAAGTGTCAATAATGAAAATACTAACATGAAGTTAATAGACATATCTTGACTTTAAACTTTTCTCAATCAATCCATCAGTTAATCAATTTATTAGGAATAACACCTTAAGATTGGTGGCACACACAATAGTGGTGCATCCAAAATAACCACTTTTCTCATATTGTTTTACGCTATTCTTCCAGTAGGCTAGTTATCATGGTAGGTTCATAGCAAGATGATTAGTCTAGGTCCCTAAGTATCTGCGTAGCTACGTAGGCCCTAGAGGCAAAGTGTCTGGAAAGAAAATCATCCTTTATAGTATCTAGAGTTACTGTTATTACTTTTCCTATATATATGTTTTTATATAGATACAGATCAATCATATTTATAAAACATAATTTTGACAGAAAGCAGACATTTCATACAATATTTAGGACTCGAATATAGAATTCGTTTGTGCTCTTAAATAGCTTGCGCCAACTTGAAGCAGACATTTCATACAATATTTAGGACTCGAATATAGAATTCGTTTGTGCTCTTAAATAGCTTGCGCCAACTTGAATTGAAGTAATGATGTCACATAAACATTGTGTCTATTGCACTGCACTGCGTATCATGGGGTTGATTGCCTACCATCGCTAACCCAAAGTATTTTTGTAACAACAGGGCTAAACAAAAATTTACTGAAAATTAGGCCGACCTTACATTTTCAAGATTACAAATTGGTCAGGCTTGGCCAACACTGTTTTTCTTCCTGCCTATGAAGCTAATAATAAACTTACGATTTTATTTTTTATTTTAAAATTAGTTTGTTTTAATTTAATTTCAATGTCAATTTGTAAAGGAAGCAATAAAAAATATTTTAAAATTTTTAGCTCATAAAGACAGAATCTTATCTGTATATTCGGTATATTAAATACATATGATTATGAACATTAATTTGAAACTTAAAAGTATATCTTATATAGTTCAGGCATTATGTACTGTTCTCAACTAACAAGATAAACATATATTCAGTTGACTACCTATAGTCAGAATTTTATGCTATTCTATTCATATTGGTATTGTTTTAGACAAGTCGTTTATTAATATAATCTTTACTGATGTTACACGCCACACCTTTTAAGACATGAAAGCATCCATGCGAATCATATCAATTTTATTGGATATTACCCGCTATACATGAAACTGCCTTAGACGTCGATTAAAACTATGGTTTCTTTTATTGGCTGATTGACTCACGCTTGATAAATATTCATAATTAGCATATTGAACTCTGTGATTGGTCCCTTATGATAAATTATAGATTTTTATGGTAAAATATGTATTGGTTTACACTATATTATTTAATATTATATTTAGTTTTTGGTTGAATTGTAGGTCATTGGTTCAATCCTAGTAAATGTCAAGATCCTTGTTATTGCAGATTAGTTACAATTCCTAAGCTGCATATGCTAATTACCTTTAACTAGAAAGTAAAAAATTATGTGTAAATAAAGTTGTTGAAATTGTTTAACATTTAGCTACTCTACTAAACCCTCAAATTAGATGAATTGTGTGCATAGTAATGTGATTACATTGCATACTTAAGTTACTATAATTCATAAATCTGATTATGAATTTCTAAGTTAATGGAATTTTTGATTTTTGAATTTATTCTAAGAGGTCCTTCTCCTCTTAGAATATGAGACAGTGTTTTTATGATGATTTCTTTTGTCTAGCCTGGATTATTAGATTTGTTTTTCAAAACTTGCATTTTAATCAACTAGACAGTTCAAGATCATTCAGGTTTCCATAAAATTGGTAAATACTGTTATTTTTGTTTTTCATTTTGCAGGCCATTTGCTAGCTGTGCAGAGTTTTTGACACCCGAAATTGTACAAATGTATTTTGTTCCTGTTTTAGTAAGTATTAGACTGATGAATGAAATTGTGATGACCTCTATTAAAACATCAAAAAGTTGACTTACATCAAAATGTCTCCTTATACTACCAGGTGGAATTATATATCATATCAATGTTATACGATGTTGTGTTAGTGTGTATGTGTTACAACAAAAAATGATATACAATGGTCAACCGTCTCTCCTTAGGATGTGTTTCCACAGCACTTATTATCCAATAATTTTGTTATTTTTTGCTGCAGAAACAGGGCCCAAATTTACCGGAAAAAATTCTGAATGCGAAAATAAATAACCTTTGACCGATGTCAAATCAGGGCCCATGCAAATAATTGTTTTGTGTAGTTAGTTTCTAAGGCAATTAGGCCTAGTACTGTAGTTAGTAGGCCTATAGGGCCTAGGCCTGTAGGCTAATCAAACACTTCATAATAAAAAGTGAGTAAATTTTTTGTGTTTATCAGATATTTTTAACAAACCTGTAAAGGCTGCGTTCGATGTTGACGGTTGCTGCCTGGCTGGGCTTTAGGTCTAGGCTGTCCCTACCTATTATTGTTTATTGCAGTAGAAACCCTCAATTACGTACGGCACGGGCCCAGAGCCGTTCATAATTGGCGGGTATTCGTAAAATTGGGGTTGACCAAAATTCCTATATATTTGCACTGGTTCTACTTACACTGGCATAAACTAGGCCCACTCTAGGCCCTACACAAATTTGTTTTAATCGCACGTTTTTACCTTCTTAAATACCTAGACTGTGGATTTTACTTTAACACAACTTCCATAGATACTTCCATCGATCATTCAATAAAACAAACAAACAAAATTAGAAATAAAATTTGTCGCATGCACATGTGTGAAGACATAATAACATAGTACTGTATAGTATGGTATGTTATTTTGTATGCATGCTAATAACAGTTACAATTCGAGCGGATTTTTTTTTTTTTCACTTCACTTTTTATCTTGATTTTACGTTCGTAAAATCGGGAATTTGTTAAATCAGGGTTTGTAATTGAGGGTTTCTACTGTATATCGTAAGCACACCAAAGTTACAATAGCATTTTTTTCCATCTTTTTCTCACTCCCTATATTTATAGTACAATGAAACATCATTGCAACAGTACATTTCACTGAGCGAAATAGCACCGTATCGGTTTTGTTCTTGGCCTAGGCCTATTCATCTTGTGCATAAAAGGGTCACCTGCTAGGTCAACAAAGCGGTGTTTTGGTGTTAAACACATTGCATTGTTGTCCCTAATATAGCATGATGGGATAAAATATTTGGAGGGAATTTTAAGATAATTTATCAGAGGAATTGTCAGTGTTGCAGAAACACTGCCTTAGGGAATACACCTTACTTTGGGAATATAATTAGTCAATCCCATCAAAATCTTTGGTCTCTACATTGTGCTTGAAAAAGATAATCCTGAATTATGAATACAAGATGGCACTATGCAGTACAAATTGTATAAATATAGATACATTACCACTTGACATGGGTCGGATTGTCTAATTATAATTTTAGATTATTTGGTGACTATAGTCCTTTAGAATAAGTCATACATAGGTGTGACACCAGCATTTCAATATATCCTATATCTATGATGTATTTATTTATCATAGAAATTCTTCCAAGTTTTAAAAATTTCACTCTCGTAAATCAACTAAATTTACCAATCACACCATGAAAAACTTGGGCTTACAGTATTTTGTTTACTGTCCTAGGTTGCCCTTGTTAAAGCAAGACAATAAATACATATGCAAGCCATGTTTTAACAAATTCACATTTTTCAAATTTAAAAATTACTTTCAGAATACTATATTGATTAAGTTTTTGCTACTCAAATTTTCTTTACTGCTTTGACATACATATATTTATTAGAAAACAACAATTGTGACATTAAAGAAAAATACACTATGTAATTTAAAGGTAGTTTATTGATAATATGTGAATGTGAATAAACAAAATTCAATAATTTGAAATGTCACATTTCTCTGTAAATATTGTTTGATATCAAAAGCAAATGTTTTCTTAAATATTTTTTTTAGAGGAAATTGTTGTTTTATAGCTTGAAAGTACATACTTGCAGTACATATGAATTAAAAGGGTCCCTTTCACATCTTCAATAATTCTAATTTGAATGTATGTGATTACTTTTTCAAAATCAACTGAATGGCCTTGCTCTTTACACTTTTATTGAAAGTTGTTTGTTTAGCATTTTACTGAATATTTTGGTCTGAATACAAAGTTTAATTTTATTTTATATATTCAGTAATATATGTATACTTAACCATTACACTGCCAGCTCTTTTCTTATTCAGTCAACCAGAGTGACAACTGATAACATTACCTCTAATCCCCTGTGCCAGCTAATTATTTAACAAGCTCACTGTAATGCTTATTTTTGATAATGTATATTATTTGCTCAATAATTCATAAACTATTGGGATTATGAAAATATAAATCTAAAAACAAATGCTTAGCATTGGTTGTTTTGTACATATATGCTTTTATTATTGCATTTTATTTATCATTTACTGAATAAGTGATAGGAATATTTTGTCAATAGTGACAAATAGTATAATTATTAGGCATAGGCCTATTAGCAGAGTATGTGTTTTCACAGTCAAATTACTTGCTGATGAAAATCAAAACAATGAATCTTAGGCCTACGTACATTTGCTAACATCACCATTACAGTCCAGGCCTAGCTTGACTAGGTCTGCCTAGCTATGCCTAGTCCCCAACTCAAACTTTTAACAAAACAACCTCCTGTAAGTTTTACATCAAAATGTGCAGAAATTCATTGGCTTTCCTATCCAGTAAACACTATTTGTGCTCTATGGTCTCTTTCCTTCCACAATCATTTAATTCTAGGATTTGACAATATTGCCATAAGAACTAACCACAACTCTATCAGTAAAAATAATATCTGCATATATGTCATGCTCAACATTATTAATATTCTATACTCTACTGTTAACAAATTTCCCTTTCTCCACTTCCGTCTCTCAAACCCCATCACCATTAGCCGAATTCATAAGTTTTTGTAATGCGGAGTGTTTGTGTTACGTGTTGATGAAATGTTTATTGATGCATGCTAGGCAAGTGGTAACCTTATCAAATATTACCAAGTGCAGTCAGGGAGATAGACTGTGTTATTAATTATGTCAAGAAGTTAATGTGCTAAGCTTTTGTACATGACATTATAAGGCAATAAGGCTTATGTCTCGGGCAGGCTGTGAATATGTATGTTAACTATGTTATTAATTATATAATTATGTTAATTTGTAGCTCTATGCAACTACTAAATGCACACTTGACATATAATTAACCTACTAATCTACATTGACAAGCTATCAAAATTTTGTTTTTGTGTTTGTCTCTGGGTATTTCTGTGTGTGCAGTGTATGTGGGTATGTCTGCATAGGTGAAGTCTAATGATAATGTTATAGAAATCTTTACATAAATAATGAAGATGATAATATTTGGAGTACATTTGAATATGTATGTTTATGTTTAATATATAAGTAAAAGAGATAAACAGACAGGTAAGACATACATGTGCCACTCTTGTATATAATAATGTGATGATAATATATGAACATTCACTGAAAATGTACTGTTTTTGTTTGCAGGATTGTCTATGTAACTTTGTCGAAGGCCTAGATAGTAAAGTGTTACTGCAGGAGGACACACACTGTCCCTGTGTCTTACCAGATCTTGCAGGAGAAAAACTTATACAAACTTTGCTAGATGTAAGTCAAGTCAGCCTAATAGTAATTTAAACCGACCTTTCATTTGTGGGTGAATAGTAGAACATTCCTCTCAAAAATAATGGTATCATCCAAGTGTTTTTCTAGGCATAGGATGCATACACTGTTAGGCTATAGTTATAATAATAATATTTGGCATTTCAAGTAACCCAAATAATTTTGCTCTCTTTCTTGATTCATTTTTCACATTTTTTCTCTAAGTCTGCATGCATGCTTACATATAATACATACTGTGTGTACAGACTTTTGGTTACAAAGCAGCAGTGAATGATTACATAGATTTACGCCATTTTGAATTGATGGACAATATCCCTCCAAAAATAATAGAATGGTCTGTAATTAGTCGCACTTAATGTACATTATGTGTGACCTTTCACCACAGGTCAATTATTTATTTTAGGACAATTAAATACAACATTTATCATGCAGTTCACATGGTATTGATACAATATCTGTAAGTAAAGATATAACATTTAGAACATAAGTATTTAGGAAAACAGAAGATAAGCCATTTATCTGTTGACAAAATTAGGGTATAGTACAGTATTCAAACACTATAAAATCATAACCAATAAAGCAAGCTACTGTTGGCATTGAAATACACATGAAGAGAATTATAACAAAAGTCCAACATAACATCAACATTAACATCAACAATATTCACAAACATTTTTTTTTTCTGGTATTGTTTAACGATCACAGACAGTAGTGACAAGCCAAATAGAATGATAGATGACAGACTTGATACAAAGTGCAAATGATACAATTCTATTTTATTATCTACAATTTTCCTGTCAACAGTCGCTAAGTATTATCATCGTCCAAGTGAAGTCAGAAGATGTGGACGCCTACATCAATGTACAATGTTGGCAACATCGTATAAGAACAAGGTAAGCATATGCTTCTGTAAATAGAACATAGTCTGTTTATTCTTAGTTTACCGTTGATAATAGTAAATCATATCTCATCCTATATTAGAATCTTGTATTATATAAAAATAATAATTTTATAATAAAGAAAATAATTTTTTTTTTGTCTAACCATTATGATGAATTCATTCAGCATAGTCTTATCTTTTCAGTTCCTTTATAAGTCAATCACCTTGTTATCTCATAACCATTTGCATTTTTAGGCCTAGCTTAGGTGGTCATATTATTTTTGGCTTGTTTTAGTGTTTTGGATACCATGCACTTGCTGGCTAAAAATGACCTGCTGGCCACCACTTTAGAACCCTTGTATTTCTAGACCTACTACCTCATTTTGTTAATTAACCTGAATATTATTTATATAGACACCAATCACACAAATCATACAATACTACATTTGGTAATTAGTGATTACCTGTACATATACAACAATCGGATAAAACAGACACAAGCTATCTCTTCATTTTAAATACCTTGAAAATACGGAGAAAATGAGGCATGTCATGGCCAAATGGTAAGTTGTCACACAGGCCAGTATTGAGTATAATGAGCTATAAAATATGGGAGCTCAAAAAATCGCCTAAAAAACCAAATTTGTTTTTCACTATTATAAATCAACAGCTTAATGTCTTATTAATCATGTACCAAAGTATTAGTTCTGGAAGTGGTCAACAAATTGTTTATTTAATGTTATTTTAATAGTTCATTCTATTAAACAATGTATGCATAAATAACTTTGAAAGGCAATTACTCAAAATCATGTTTATCTTGATTCACTTTCCAATAACTTAGTCTTGAAATGTCCAATTTGAATGAATGACCCCTCATTTTAAAGATCACATACTCAGGTATCTGAAAATACCAATAACTTGATTTTCAATTTTTGCTACAACTTAGCCATTTTGCCACAACATGCCTCAAATAGTTCTGGATTTTCATTTTTGTGCAGTTATAGAGTATTTGTATTTTAGTTTTTAATCTAAGGAGTCTACACAGATACTTTTGGTCACACATTTCATTTATGAAATAGCAGTGGAACCTAGACCCAATTAAAATAAATTATTATTTTAAATTATGAACTTTTAAGGATGAGTATGCTTTTCTCTATGAAGGTATGACATTTGTATTCCTTACACTAACCTAATTTCTTTCTTTGGCAGGTTAAAGATGCTAAGGGGCATATTTGAATGCCTTTTTACACATTCGATTATAGGTTTATGTATTATGATTTGACCCCAAATAAAGCATACTTAATTAAACTTAGATACCACTAATAAACATATTAAAATAAATACCAAACAAAGTGAGCAAATTAAAATCGGTAAATATTTATGGTCAAAAACATACCTATCATACTCATGTGTCAATGCTTTTGCTCATGGTTTAATTTCACTTGGCAGACTTTAGCCTTGGTTATTTGTTTGTAAAAAAAAACATAATTTATAATAATGTTTATTTGACATAAAAGAACAATTTAGCCAGGATGCGAGAATAGGCGAAAGCCCAAACAATCAATGTACTCGCTCCATAGAACACAAAATAAAAATAACAAATTTAAACTTAGATACTAAAAATTAAAATTAAAATTAGTTAATTAATACATTGAAAGAAGATGTTTTGTAAGAGCAGACTTACATAATGAAATTGATTAATAATTTTGAATTTCTGTTTTGTAATTGTTCCCATAGTTGTGGGAATATAACATAAACAGAGTCTACCCTTACATCTTTGACTACTATTTACATACTGAGAAAATGAAGGAGGACAAAAACCTTTTAAAATCTTAAAACCTTGTACAAGTTTCTGAACTTTAAATGCATCTTCGATAGTTAAAATATTAAGACTTTAGTCTATAGAAATATGATGTCTCCCAAGAACCTTCCTTTCTAAACATTATTATTCTTGTCGCTCTTCTTTGAATACTTTCGATTTGGTTCAAATGTGATTTTTCAACTGGTGCCCACATAGAAGCACAATATACTATAATCGGTAGTAGTAAAGCTTTATACAGGTTTAACATAAAATTTGAATTTTGTGGGGACCCTGGCTTTAGCCAGTGAGAGCTCATAGCCGTTAAGCCACTGATTATCATCTTGCTTGGCATTTTTGTCATTGTTATCGTGATAATCATCAATAATATCATCATCATCATCATCGGCATCACTTATTTATTAGCATGATTATAAATAGTAAGCATTGGTTACACATTTGAATATTCTTAAAATCTGAATCTCAGATTTACGACACCCCAATGTACGACATGTTATATTTTACAACCAAACTCCGAGTAACCTCATTGGCAAATTGTGTCGAACCTGTGTAGAGTTACCTAAAATACTCACTCCAATTACAAATTTGAAGAATATAACTTTCAAATTTAACATTAAATAAAGATTAAACTCATCATTATTACCACTTAACTTACATCTACATTAGTTTCATATTATACCTGTGTTGTTGTCATATACTGGAGTAAATTTTTGACCCTACTTGTCTATGGTAGACAAAATAAATTTAACGTACATGTCAGCGTCGCCGGATATTTCACATTGTAAACATTGAAGTCGAATTATACAGTATATATCATTTTGAAATATCAAAATAAATTAAATGTATATATTTTTGTTGGCTTAATTTGGGTTCTAGAGTTCAATGAAAAAAAAAGTGTAGTATGAATAATTACAATGTTTATTGGTATGATTTTTATAACTTCTGAGTTCAGTAGTGAAAACCAAGCATTTCAATACAAATTTATACTCTTACTCAAATTACAGTGTTGAAGCTTAGAAAATGTGTTTGGCAATGAAAAAAATATGTATTAAAATACTGTATAGCTATTCATTTGCTATTAATCGATCATTTCATCTGTATGGTTTGGTTTTTATTTCATGAAAATCAGTAATTTTGGCATAAATGAGAGTGACCCAACTTTTCATATTAGTATTTTCACTATAGCCAGGTGGTTAATTTAAGGACTTTTAGTTAATTCTGTTTTTCTACACAATTTGGCAAGAATTAAATTCATGAATATTAATGAATTTTTGTAAATTGACTACCAAGCAATTGAAAATAGAATATCACCTGAACTGAATGTGAAATAACATAAATAGTATTATGTACATTTTTTTGTTACGTTTGGAACTTCGATTTTTCAAATAATTACTTTAATCATGTTAGGAATAAAAGATATATTATGGAAAATTTTGACTCTCCCCTTTCAATTAGGTTTAGCTATGTAGTACGCTATATTTATTCTACTTTATAATTGACCTGTAGTTCTAAATTAGACCATTTTTTTTATTTATCCGATCCGAGTGATACTTAATCAGAGGTTTGGCTGTAGACTTTACAATACCTTACTGTAATATATTTAATGCGGTTTTCCTTGAATTACTAACTGTTGTCAGTTTTTAATGGCATCATGAAAATTAACTTATTTGTTTTATTATTTAGCTTCAGTCCTCGCTTCAGGTCTCAGTTTATTAAACTCATTTAACACTGTTGACATTTGGTTTGCAACTTGACAATGCTGTATGCTTTGTGACTGAATTCCATGAAGTATAAAATTTTGAATAATAAATTGCAAGGAAATAATTTCTTCACTTCTAAGAATTGATTTTCATAAGCTTTCAAAATTGATTGTTTTTTAGTGGGTGTTTGATAACTTGGCAGAAGGATCAATTTGGAATTTTTCAAAATTTCTTTCCTTGAATATGGATGCTGCCCTCAAACATCAGTTGTGATTAGTTACTGATTATTTCCGAGAATCTTTTGGCGCCACTGATGTGGGAGTATAATCGAAGAAATCTAAGAAATGAAATTGCATAACTACCACCCTCACATTTTCTGTATACAGTAGCTTAAAGATGTATTGTCCCTTGCTAATGTAAAAAAATCAAAAAATAAGTTTGAAATAAACTTGATCATTTTGCAATAACATACAAATTATTAACTTGTGCATAGAAATTATTTAATTTAAAAAATGTACCCTGATTTTTTAAACCAACAAATTATAATAAAAATAATAAAACACTTCCAGTGACTGGAAGAGTTTCTATCTTTTTTTGCTGTTAACTGATGGGTAGACAATTTTTTAAAAACACTAATTTCTATGTTCAAGTTGATAACTTTTATGTTCCTTCAAAATTGGCAAGTTAATTTTAAGAAATGATTTTATGATTTTGATATTTAACATGGGACAATACATCTTTAAAGTCAGTAGATTATGGGCGATAGGTTGAATTATGGTGATCAGTATAACAATAATGCTGAGGAATACAATAGAGATTGAAATATATATAGTTTTGATAATAGAAAAAAATTATTTTTTATTATTTTTTCTAACATGTTATCAATTTATTTTTGTCTCAATAGCGATGGCGAAATGCTGCGTTTGCTGTACTGGTTGGACTAGTGATTCTTCTGTACCTCATCATATTTGCTGTCTTTCCTGGTGGTATAATGAATGAATGACCTTTACTGACACAGCATGGCTTCTTGCTTTTCCGTGTTTATTCTTCCAGATTGTTCGTTGCTCCTGTCTTATGCATTAACTTGCCCGGTGTACGAAAAGAAAAGAAACCATTTTTACAGACATCGATGTATAGAATATGTGTGGTCTGTATTTTATATCTGTAAACTTGCTATTTTTATTTGGAAATATTCAAAAAAATGAGAGATAAGTACAAAAAATCCTTAGTATTCGGAAACAAAAGAGAAATTGTGCCTATTTTGTTACTCAACATCTTCCGGATTCAATAAGGAGCTGGAGGTGTGAGATAATATTATCTGTTGCTGTGTTTACTGTAATTGATAATTGAATGTTGCAAAAATGTGATGATAACTGCTTAATATTTTTAATAGCTATACACATCTATCATTTCCCAATTGATATATATATATATAGTTTGATGCAACTTGTATGTATGCACAAAACATGTTAACATGTGTCTAGAGTATGTGTGTAGGGTGATTTATATGCACATTCAAAAATAAACCATGCAGAAGCATGTTTGATTGAAGTGGGTACATTTTCACTATGAATTTATATTAATATCCTAAGCTGTCCATTACAGCTATATGTTTTTAAACACATGTGAATACAATATTAGTTTACATGATTATTTATGATGTAATATATTGGTACATCATACATGCGATTACATGTTTAGGCTGAAAGCTTGACTAAGATTCACTTTGCAAAATGCTAGGTACATTCATTGTAGCGTGGATGCCCATACTGCTACAGTTACATGGAGATGCAGTGTAAATTCATGCCAGTTTATAACCCAAGTTTATATACCTCATACATAGATTCTAGGCATCTGATTATAAAGTACTGTTCCCCTATGGGATGGTACTTTCTTGCCCAGCCGTGCGATGTGCATTCTCTAGGCCGCGTTGCTATGATGACACGCATGAATAGTAAAGGAGACGCGACCTCTACAACGCTGAGAGAGATTGGCTCTTTGATCGCCTAGGCCTAGGAAGTAAGCCTAGGTGGCCTACTTGGTGTGAACTATTTTCCTTTCCTTTTTAGGTCTCATAAAATCTATGTGTGAGGTATATAAAACAAATATTGACTGCTCTAGATTAGGAGAACGGTGATATTTATAGCTCCCTTGGTGATGTGGAGACCCCCCCCCAGCCTATCTTCCCTCGGGCTTTCAGCCCTCTGGAAGATAGGCTACGGTCTTCCACATCACCTCAGGGCAATAGATTTCACCATTCTCCTCATGAGCAGTCAATATTTGTATATTATTACTCTGCTATATGCTTTCTCGCCTAGGTATATATTATAATGGGAACTAGAAAGATGTTAGGTATAGAAAGACTGGGATAAACCAATGGAACAGAGTAGACCTTTCCGATGTGTCAAACTTAACAACTGACTAATCAGATGAGGGCCAGGAATACGTGAATCCAAGAAGCACGTCTCTCAAAACGGACTCTGGGACCTTAGCAACAATATATAAGGGGCGGCGCTTACCGGAAAGGTCATTGGTATTTGGAGGTTTATATGTCCTGTAACCTGGTGCTTAGAGAGTATACATTGATTAGAGAGGGCGCTGTTTAACATTTAGAAAGTCATTCTGTATGAATGCAGATTTGTAATTACTGTCAACACCGTCAAACAAATAACTAACATCTACTTAAATTTTTTTACTTTTTTGGTTAATTATCCAATTAGAACAATGGTTTAGTTTATATAACCTTACTTACCTTGTGTTACC